CTCTCTCCCCTCCTCTCTCCCTCCCGCTCTATCTGAAGATAAATGCAAAAATGTCCTCAGGTGAGAAAAAAAAAAAAGAAAGAAACTAAACTATATCCTCCTCTAAGTCACTGTGACAAGCAAATGAGCACCTCGCATCTACAAAGCAATGGTGTAAACAAAAGGATGATAGGAGAAAAGAGGTGCCCCACTTAGAAAGGGAAAATACGGGCAGGCCCCTTAAAGGCCATGTAGTGATTCAGAACTGGATTGTTCTACACCAGAGAAACTACAAGTTTCCAAAAGATTATTTCCCCATTTTGTTTTGTTTTTTTGTTTTTTTAATCTTCACCTGAGGACATTTTTGCATTTAATCTTCAGATAGAGCGAGAGGGAGAGAGGGAGGAAGAGAGACAGAGAAGTATCGATGTAAGAGAGACACATCCACTGGCTGCCACCTACACGACCCCAACCGGGGCCGGGGACAAACTATAACCGAGGTACATGCCCTTAGCAGGAACCGAACCCGGGACTCTCTGGTCCACAGGCTGACGCTCTAACCGCTGAGCCAAACTGGCCAGGGCTCCCCATTTTGTTTAAGTGTGATTTAAACCTAGAGGTGGCCTCAGTCAGCCATCAAGCATATGCTGTCATACCATGGCTTAAATGTGCAGCTGTGTCCCCCCAAAAAAGAAACTTAAAATGCATCCTTGGGTCAGATTCTAACACAGAGACTCAGAGTTAGTTAACAGAAGCAGCCTAATAGAATAATCGAGAACCTCTCACGGGATTAATCCTCTAAAACCTATCAAATTCCCGTAAAACAAGCAGATCCTGCTGTTTGTTGCCTGGAGAGAATCGGGACCTTCTGAGGTAAAGTGTTCAGGGAAGTCCTAAGGATTCTTCTACAACCTGAAAACCTGAATTTGGAAACCAGCTAGATTCGTAACGACACTGTACGTGCCCAGATTTTATAGGACCCACTGCAAGAATGGATTTCATTTCTTTCTTAAAAGAACCTCTCTCTTACTGGTTCGCCCGATTCAATCACATATATCTTTGATAAATGCAATCAGACCGAAAATAAGGTCTTTTTGGATTTTGTTACCCGGAGAAAAAGGAATATAGCACATGAGTGACCCTCATTGTGTAGCTCTGCTCCCACGCTGGTAATTCTAGGAGATTAAAGTCGCTGCTTTCAAACAGAAACATAAGATAGCCAGGTCAGACCTTCACCCAAAAAAACTCACTCCTCCTCTCTTGAAGACCCCAGTTCAATGGGATAATGATGAAATGATCATTGATCAGGTTTACTGAGCTTTGCAATTCCTCTCACTTCTAAGAATAAAAACCTGGAGTTAGGCATTCCTTCTATAGGGTCAGACTTGCATCTGCCCACAGTCCCTGTCTTCCTGGGGCGTGAACATGCCTTCACCCTGGAGTGGGGTCACAGAGGCTCACCCACCACGGTGCTCCCCAGTTCACTGCCAGTTCCAAATAACGGCAAGAATTATCTTGTTTTACTGCTCTGATGTCCCCAGCTTACCTTGTTTAAGATTAATAAAGCCATTACAATCCTCTCAATTAAAAAGCCATTTTAAAATGCACTTTTAATTCTAGTTTGTGAGCAACTCACTTAATTATTTCTATTTGTTTTTCTTCTTGAGTGGGTAATTCCTTCTGCCTTAAAAAGAGAAAACAGCCTGGTTGAGTGTCGACGCATGCACCAAGAGGTTGCCGGTTCGGTTTCCGGTCAGGGCACATGCCCAGGTTGTGGACCCAATCCCCAGTGGGGGGCATGCAGGAGGCGGCCAATCGATGTTCTCTCTCATCGATGTTTCTAACTCTCTCTCCTTTCCTCTCTCTAAAAGCAAAAAAGAAAAAAAATACATATCACCTCTAGCAACACGGGCAGGGATGGAGGAAGAGAGAAGCAGCCATAACCATTCTCCATGCAGATTCTGGGATCAGTGGGGACCTGCCTCTCCCTATCAACCTGATCTTAGTCTTCTTGGGGCATTTGGTCTCAGCATCCCTAGACGAAGGCCCTTTTCCCCAATTTACAAAAGTCTGGAAGGAGCCACCCAAAAGTCTCCTGAGGTCAACTGAGGCTCATGAAAGCGCTCCTAGGGCTCATAGAATTGAATGGACTCTCTGGCGTTTGGGGACAATGCATTTCATTTTTCACAGAGCTCCCCCCCTTCTTCATCTGATCATTTTTCGATCTCTCCCTTGCTAGTTGCGGCATTTTCTGCCATACTTGTATGGGGCACGTGCTTTTCTCCTCCCGGCTGAGACGATTAGATCTTGCAATTGTTGTGTTCCTCTTTTGTGGAAAGCAGTCAAGAAGGAAAATCCACATTGCAGAACAGTGTCTATTAGATATGCACCTTTTTGTGGACAAAATAAAAGAGAGCACTCTCCGAAGGCTGATTTTCAGCTCTGTGTATCACCTGAAGACCAGATACTGGGTGAGACCTGCTCCCTCCCGGGCCACCTCCATTTGGGTCACTGAGAGCTGGTGGTCAGAAGTTTAGAGTCAGACTGACTTATTTTAAGGAATGCCTTAATTAATTTATTTATTTTTTATCCTCACCCGAGGATATTTTTCCATTTTTTGTACAGATAGAGTGGGAGGGAGAGAGAGGAACAGAGAGAGAAAGAGAAACATCGACGTGAAAGGGACACATCGAGTGGCTACCACCCGCACGACCAACCAGGGCCGGGGACAAACTGCAACCGAAGTACGTGCCCTTAGCGGGAACCGAACCCGGGTCTCTCCGGACCGCAGGCCGACGCTCTAACCGCTGAGCCAAACGGGCCAGGATGAGGAATGCCTTAATTTGAAGTGTGGCCCTTGGACCAGTAGCAAGGACGTCACCTGTGAGCCGGAGGGAAATGCAGACTCACAGGCCCCACCCCAGACCAACTGAACCAGAACCTGCTCTTAACAACATCCCAGGTTGATTCGTAGGCACATTCGATTTTTAGAAGCACGGGTCTAGAATTAAGGTGAATTTCCTTTTATTACTATCCTGGAGCCCACTCCCCCACCCCCACCCACGGGTTTCTTTCCTAAGAAAGACATCTCTGAATAGCGAACTCCACAGAACATCCCCACCACCCTTCTCCACCCAAACCGTTTGTTTACAGAGGAATCCTGAAATAATCAGAAATCACAGCCTGGCCTGAAGGAGTTCAAGACGAAGCCGTACGAGTGAAAAGGGAAACCTCTGAATCAGAGGTGACAGGCAACCCTTCTTCCCAGCTTCTTCTTCAAGGCTCAGGGTTATGTGCTCGACCCCTTCTCCCCTCGGAAGAGAGGCAAAGACGCGTTGTACAACTGGATGGGGGGCCCACATGAGACGGAGGGGGCCGTGCCGTGCACCGAGCCCTCGGATCCCTGGGCAAATGGCAGAACCAGGAACACGGCCTTCAAGTCGGAGCTGTGCTCTGACCTCACACCTCCAATAACAACCCTCAAAATGCACACGGATGAGCCCTGGTCAATCTGTCGTCTACATGGGAGGAAAGGAGCAAGAGCATGGGAAATCACGTGGACCTGGGTGAGGAAATAAAGGCTAGACTGAAGGCAAGAGAACAGGGAAGGAAATGAGTCATCCGTCCCTGCCACCTATTCCCACTCACCCCTGAGGTGCAGCCAATAACGACCGGGGCCCTGGCAGGCCACACAGGTGCCGCCTTGGCATTACATCTGGCTTTGCCCTCTATGAAGAGAAAACCTGCCTGAGAGACATTTCTATAAAAATAAGAGCCCTGAAAAAGTTACCCCTTGCTAAAAAATGAAACCGAAAACAAAAACAGGGCCCCCATCCAAAGCAAGTGTTTTCTCGGTACCTCTGACAGGCACATCACAGAAAGTTCCTTCAGAGCCTGAGCATCTTTCAGATCCCTAAGTGGGAGGCTGGCGCTACTGGTTACTCTGTGTTCAGGTCCAACCTGTTACTCCCTTCCCCCCACTCGTGCTAATTTTTCACTCCTTTTTTTTATTCCATCTCCATCTTGGCATTCTCCGAAACAGCAATATTTTAAAGCACTAAAATGGTTTATGTCTATCAATCAATACCCGTTTTTCCACCAGTCATTATCTATGCACATATTAACAGCATCTCAGTCCTGGACCATGATTCTGTCCTTTCCATGCGAACACATCAGCAAGCTCCCGTAGCAAGTCTGGAAGGGACAGCAGGGATGGACAGCAATGAGCCGTGGAGGCAAAGAGACTGTTAGAAATTCAGACAGGACCTCCACTCTCTCCCTCCACCACAACCCAAAGACATCCCCTGCCCCAGGACAGAGTATGTCACAGGCCGGCCACCTAGGGAGTCCAGGCGTCCACCTTTCCTTCGGCTAACTTCCACTTCAGAGAAAAGCTCTCAACTTTACTCCCTCCGTAGATCAGGCCTGGAGAAGCCAAGCAATCCTCCAGAAACACCTCTGCATCCCTTCCCCACCCCTGACATGCACAGACATGCCCGTACACACCACATCCCAAGGAAAGAGAAAGTTAACTTTCAAGTAAACCTGTCCTGCCGGCAGTCTGGCCACATTCTCAGACCCTTCACAGTCACAAAGGGGGTCTGCAGCTGAAACTTGACCTGTGTCTGCTGAGGGCACAGACAAGGGTCAGAGGTCCCCAAGCATACATTAGCCACAAATAGACTTCTCTACCTCTCTCTCTCTCTCTCTCTCTCTCACACACACACACACACACACACACACACACAATGAGAATAATAGGCCAGCCTTATTGTCTTTCCTTCAGGGAAGCCAGAAGCCAGGCTGGGCAGCTGGTGGGAAGCTCCAGACAGAATATGGGTGTGTGAAGCTGTCTGGGTTCCAGAGGAATTTGGGGGGTCTTAGACACAGGGGCTCCTCAGGTTCTCAGGTACCCCAAATGTCGGGGTGTACGGGGGAGTGGCAGAGGGCAGAGCTGTCCTGCCAGCCAGGCTCCCCCTCCCTGCCGGCCTGGGCCCTCCTGGTCACAGCGAGGCACTCACCGCCTGTGAGCTGTGCAGGGCCGAAGCACAGGGCCAGCTGAAACCACAGGATCACGGCCAAGAGTCTCTGGGGGGACTGAGGCTGCTGCTGCTGCTGCTGCTGCTGCTCTAGAAATCCATCTCCATGGCTCGGGTTCATTCCATAATACATCTTTCATCCACAGAGGGCATCCGGCTTGCAAGAGTCTGCAACCAGGAACGAACACGACAATACCCCAGGCTGCGTGGGCTCCGGGGACCACGCTTCCACTCCTCCACCATGGGACTTGGGGGGATTGGGGGCAGGGGTGCTCGGCTTCCCCGGCTCCATCCCCGGTCCTCCTCCGCCTCCTTTCCCACGGTGCTATTCCCCCGCTCCCCCCAGAGCGGGTACACTGAGTAACAGCCGCCGCGGGATGCTGCGCTTGCGGGAGGGATGGAGGAGGGGAGGGAGAGGAGGGGGTAGCGCACATTGGCTCTGCGCCGGTCCCCGGGATCCAGCGGCTGTGACCAAGGCAGGAAAGTCTAAAGCCTTCCAGTGTCGTGGGGCTGAAAAAACACTTTTCCCTGGCTCTAGACAGGTCACTCTTAGGAATCTCACGATGTAGCACCGGGTCCCCCAGGATACTTCTCTGGTTTTCCCCAGGATGGGGATGGGTCCTCTTGCCCGGTCCCCCAAGAGATGGCTCTGCGCTGTCAAAAAATTCCTTCCCTGGGGGAGAGAACCAGGCACCAACTCCCCCTCCTGGGCCTGCGCGCGCCTCCCCGGGATGCGAAGCCCCTTCCGGGGCTCTGGGTCTTACCTGTGGGTCTCATGCATGCAGCTTCCTTCCCTCCTCCGCCTCCTCCCCCCGCCGGTCTCACCCGCATCTGTGCGCGACCTCTGCTGCCGCCGCTGCGCGAGCCAGAGACGGAAGCCTTGGCGGCGGCGCCGGGCTCCCGCTCCCCCCGCGCGTGCTCTCCCTCCCCAGGCTCCGGGAGCCGCTGGGTGCGGGGTGGTGGGGGAGGACAGCAGCCCGGCCGCGCGCCCCGGAGGAGGCGCCCGCGCTCCCGCCACCTGAGCTCGCGAGCGCGCGGCGGCGGCGGCGCGGAAAGAGGGAGGTGGCGAGGGCGGAGCGGAGGCGCTGGGCGGCCGCGGGGGAAGGGGACCCACGCAGGCGGGCGTGGGAAGGGGCCCCGCCGTCGTCTCCCCGACCAATGGGAAGCCGGCGCGCCTGCACCTGTCGGGGCGCGAAGTGCAGGCGACCGCTCACGCTCGCGCGCGGGCCGGTTGCCCCCTCCCCGGCGCCGGCCTGCGGTCCCCGCCCGGCCGAGCGAGAGCCGGGTGCCCGCCGCGGCCTCCACGCGGTGTCTAGTGCCCCCAGCGCCGGCGCAGCGCGGGAGAGCGCTCCGCGTTAGGCTGCTGCCGCGGCGGTGGCCCAACCCAGGGGACCGGAGTGCGCGGCCGGGTCGGGCCCCACGCCCTGACCCTCACCACCAACAGAGTTAACTTGGCGGGGTGGGGCGCGGCCCATTGGTACAGCTCTGATTTTTCAGTACCGTTGTCCGAATCCCCTCCCTCCCCAGGGCCAGGGTTCTGCGTGCCCCCTTGGATCCCGAAGGACATTCGCCCCCTTCCCCCACCTTCCCCGCTATTTGACCTTTTGGCGAACCGTCAGCATCCTGCGCAAGCACTTGAAGCCTGTCTTGGGGATGCACACAGGTCCTTCCGAACCTCCGCCCGGGGGCGCTCTCGGGCGGTCAGGGGAAGAGCGATCCATGTTGCTGCAGAAGGATGGGTGCTGAGAACTGGGCCTCGGCCTTGGATCGGAACCCAAGGGGATCTAGCGTGTTTGCTCTCCGCGCCACCGGTGGAGTGAGTTCGCCCCGTCGGCTCTGTCTCTGGCCGTTTGTGGTGCCGGTGCTCGCTCCGCAGTGGGTGAGACTCTCAGTGCCCAGCAGCTCTGGCCACCCGCTGTCCGTCCGGAAGATTGGCCTTTCTCAACCGACCTGGCTCGCAGGACCAAAATTCCAACCACAGGAGTTAAGGGGGCTGCGCTAACGAGGTGGAGGCGATACCGGCAGGCAGCTCTTCAGAACCAGTGGCACCCCATTAGTCTGTAGCGGTCTGTGGCTCCCAATACCATGTTTATGATACCGCCAAAGCATCCCTTGCCTCTACCAGCTTTCCCCAAATCTCACGTACTGATAGGAGTCAGGAAATTATTTATTTTACTGGGTTGACTCTTATTGGGATTAATTTTAACAAATTCTTTCAGGATAAACTTTCAGTAGCTAAGTCAAACTCGGCATTTTTATGTATATGTTTTGTTTTTGCTTAGTAAAATTAGAGGTGGCAGTTTTGCACAGAATCGGCTAAGATTTTGGCTAGCACAAGTTTGTTCCTTAAAGCCTCTACGTTGGGGCTCCACAATGTTAGTGGGGGCATCCTTCCACATTTCCAAGGTCTTCTGACTGACCGCTACAGTTTGAACATTTATTTCTTTTTTTTCTCAGTAAATTTCCTAAAGCTTTTCTGATAGTCATCAAATCAACAAAGATCAAACATATCTGTGGATCATGGGCATGGCTTTCAATTCATAAGAGAGACATCTAAGTACCACTGAAATCTGTTCTTCGGCTGGAACACAATGCATCTGTAGAAAGACTATCAGGATGAAAAGGAACATCAAGTTTTCTGGTCCAAACACCCGATCTAGAGTCCCCTCTGTGACATTTCAAATAAGTGGTCATCCAGCCCCATTAAGGACTTCTCAAGGACGCCTATTGTACTTGCCAACAGCTCTCTTAGAAAAGCCTTCCTTATACTGCATTGAGACCTACTCCCTGAAACTTTTATCCGTGGACTGTGGCTCTTCCCTTGAGTTCCACACAGCCAAATCAACGTCTTCCTTCTTAAGACAGCACTTCACTCTGGAGATGGCTTCATGTTTCCTTGAATCCTCCCTTCTCTGGGTTAAACTTAGCTACTTCCTAAGTGTGACAATTCCTAGACTCCTCACCAGCCTTACAGCCTTCTCTGGATGTGACCCAGCTTCTCAATGGCCACCTACCCCCAACAATCAAGGTCTGTTTCCAGAAAAGGATTATTTTCACACTAAAGGTTCTGACCAGCATATAATAGGACTGATGAGTTATTTTAAATAACTTGCTTCTATTTATGCAACTTAAACATTTGGAGGGTGGCCACAGAACACCGTGTTGTTAGTTTTCTACATTATCTCATGTATTAGTTTGCTAGGGCCGCCATAACAAAATACCGCAGACTGGGTGGCTTAAACAAAAGAGATTTATTTTCTCACAGTTCTGGAGGCTGAAGTTCAAGATCAAGGTGTTGTCAGGTTTGGTTTCCTCTGAGGCCTCTCTCCTCGGCATGCAGATGGCCACCTTCTCGCGGTGTCTTCACATGATCCCTCTGTGTGTGGATGTGTCTGGTGTCTCTCTGTTCTAACCTCCTCTTCTTATAAGGACACCAGTCATATTAGGGACCACCCTAATGACCCCCTTTAAACTATATTGTTTCTTTAAAGATCCTATTTCTAAAGCTGTCTCATTCTGTACTAGGGGTGAGAGCTTCAACAAGTGAATTTTGAGGGGGCATAAGTCATCCCATAACATCTCACAACAAAAATAAAGCCAATGTTACACTCGTCTTACAGGCGAGAATGATGAAAACAAAGGCGTCAACGCATTTATGCAATAGCACCCAGCCAATGAAGGCCTCAGACTTCATCTACAGCAGTCTGACCCCATCTGAATACTCTCCCACCTTTCCCTAGCTATTGCCATGAACACCTTCTACCGCAAGGGCTGCAAAACAAGTTATTCTGAATGTATTCGAGCTTATTTGTGTGTATATGTACGTGTGTGTGTAATCTTCTATCACCTTGCCTTTTTTTCTTGGCTTCTTACCTTTAAAACCACTGTCAGCTGGGCATGAATATTTTCTCCAGGAAGGCTCGTACTTAGCACCAAGGGAAGGGGGAAGAGGAAACAAACCTCACTGGAACTTATTCGACATTCAGCCAGCATTTGCTGAGGGCCTAAGATACGCCAAACGCAATGCAAATCCATAAAAATGCAAATAGATACCATCTCAACCTTCAGGACGCTCACAGTTATGAACCTAGAGCTACACTTCTTCTATGTACAATGTTTTTTATGCGGTCACCTGTTCATTCAACAAATACGTCTCAAGTCCTACTATGTGTGAGCCGCTGTTCTAGGTAATTTTTACAAAGGGCTTTATATTATGACTTTTTTCATTCTCAAGGGATCATTTTAATTCTATAGAAACCATGATAATATGAGAGAAGATATAGAAAACGTCAAGGTGTGTTTGGGAAATTGTGGATAACCCCTTGTGTCTAAAGAGTATGTGTGTACAGGGGTGGGGTGGGGGAATAGGTGTGACTGTTAGAAATAAAGGTGGAAGGTCCTGTTAGGGCCACACAGTTAGGGGCCTTACATGCCACATCGAGGGGTTTAAACTTTATTCACAAGACAGGGGAGAGGCATCAAAGAATTTTGAGTGGAAAAGTATCATAATTAGACACTAGTATCAGACACTAGTCTTTCGGGAAGAAGGAAGGTTGGAACAGAAGAGGTGGTGGGAACAGGCACAGTGTGAAGACAACAGGGCAGGGAAGGGGAACGAGGTGAACCAGGGCCATGAGAGGCAGTGACCATGAGAGGCTCCGAAGAGGGGGATCGTCAGATCTCAGGAACCAGGATGGCTTCAGGGTGAGCAAAAAATAAGGGATGCGGAGATGATATCAAGATTTACAGTCTAGGAGACCAAGCTGTCAACTACTAATAAAAACAGGGACCGCCATTGAAAGGCAAGTTTCAAAGGATAGCTGTGAGTGTGAGGTTGATTTGAATAGCTGGAGGGAAATCATCTGGAGATACCCAGCAGGCTGTTGGAAATTAGAGCTTGGGGGTTTGCAGAGGGGTCAGAGCAGGAGAAGTGGGCCCATGAACTACCCCGAGGCTGTCCCTTAAAGGCACAGAACAGAAGTGCTTGCCCGGAGACTGCACAATGAAGAGAGAAGAGCCACTGGACAGAACTTCTGGGAACCACACTGTAGGAAAAGGCAGGCATGGAGGGAGGGAAGGGAGAGGGAGGACAGTCAGTAAGAAGGACGAAGAGCAGTGGTTCTCAAACTGCAGAGGATTCCTGCAGCTTCCTAGCCCGTCTGCAGACAACAGGTTCAGTAGGCCTGGGGTCTGGGAACACACAATCCAAAGAGCATACCCGCTTCCTCGTCTACTGATGCCTGACAGGTCAGCCCAAACGAGCATCTCAAGTCAGCAACATTGTTGGTCTCATGGTTTCTTCCGTGAATCAAGAATCAGGGAGCAGCCCTGGCCGGTTTGGCTCAGCGGTTAGAGCGTCGGCCTGCGGTCCAGAGAGAGCCGGGTTCAGTTCCAGCTAAGGGCACATACCTCGGTTGCAGTTTGTCCCTGGCCCTGGTAGGGTCGTGTGGGTGGCAACCACTCGATGTGTCCCTTTCACGTCGATGTTTCTCTCTCTCTCCCTCCCACTCTATCCGAACAAAATATGCAAAAGTGTCCTCGGGTGAGGATAAATAAATAAATAAAAATAAAATAAAATCAATAAAGAAAAAAAAAATCAGGGAGCAGGTCAGCGGGGTGATTCTGGCTTGGGTGTCTCGTGAGGTTGAGTGGAGTTGTCAGCCAGGCTTCAGACATCAGAAGACGTACTTGGGCTGGAGGATCTGATTCTAAGATGACTGTCCTCATCACATGACTGCCAGCTTCCCCCAGGGCGGTGATCCAAGAGAGAAAGACCGTGACCACAGTGTCTTCCATGACCAGCCTCAGAAGTCATATTAGTCATTTCTGCAAAATCCTATTGGTCGCACAGCTGAGTCCTATTCACTGTGCAAGGAGAGGTCACAGGGCAACAGGAAATAAAATCATG